CAGATATTAACTTGACAAATACATCCAAAACAACATGACGAATCGTCAACACGTGTACAATTACTTTTTCTCTTCGTATATATTGCAAGTATTTATTTATTTATTTATTTTGAAGTAAATTTAATTAACTAAACGCATGAATTCTTTCACTTGTCAATTAAAACTCTCGAAAATGCATGTTTAAAAATAGTATATTTATTAGGCCACTTGTTAATGTCCTTAGCTATTTTCTTTCCTATTAAACTCAATTTATATTTCTAATTGAAATTTGAATCTTCCATACATTTGTAAATTGTACCTTAATAAAAGTAAATAGAAATTCGATAAATTTCTAAATTAGAAGTTTAAAGATTTAGATCCTTTTATTTACAGTATTAACCTCTAAATCTAGAGGTAAGACGGCCGGATGCTGAACGCTCTGGGAATCTGGGATTGAATCCGGACGGGTGAAAAACCCAGGAAATTTTCGGAGGATTTTGTCCTTCACCCCATTGTTTGTTTAAGTTATGACAACGCAACACTTGGGCGATCTGCCTAGGGGGATGCCTTCCGGGAGGTCTTTTTTAGGAAGGAAAAAAAGCCCTATTTAGGCGTTACAGACGTGGAGAAAATCCGGAAAGCTCCACGTGGCCAGCCTGTCCGAACGAGGCGCGTTCCTCCTAGTGTTCAGGGAACGAAGATCGGTTGGCCACTTCACCCCATTGTAATTTGGCCGAACCAATAATGAGCTTGCTAAAAAAAGGCCCTAGTTCCCACAGGACTGAAAGAGTTAAAATAATATAGAGGCAAAATTGAGGGGTAAGATAGATTTATAGGTGAAACCTCTAAATATAGAGGTTTATACATGTTATCTGTTTATCACAAAATTGCTGTGAATAAATAAGAATTCATATCTTATTTCACAGATAATGTATTATTACATCCAGCTGAATAACAAATTATAGCATTTCCTTTACAAATCCTATATTTGGTAATACTTTTATGAAACGTTTGATTCTTACATTTAATACTTTTAAGATTATATTAGATAAATATACAATTTCTGTCTGATAATTATCTCATATAACTTCATAGAAATTTAATATAGATGTTATTATAACACTAAATTCAGTAATTCGATTTATTTGAGTCTCTTATTCATAAATTAAAAGTAATGAAAGAATAAATTTGTCAATCAGAATATTAAAATTAATTTAACAGAAAATACTTATAAACACTGTTTAAAAATAAAATAATGAATATTTAAATTATTTTGTCTGTGTTTTTAAAGTGGAATATGCAAAATAATTCGATAATTTATGTATTAAACAATATTTTATCTGAATAATTATACAATCCAAAATGTAAGTTATTTATTTATTTATTATATTTATATTCTATAACTAACTATAAATAATTTTAAATATTAAAAGTATTATTTAAAATTATTCAAACTAATATTTTTCAAAGAAAATAATAGAAGAAATATAAATAATTTAAATTTGCAAGTTAAATATTTATATATTCTGCAAAAGTTTATATTAATTTATATATTTGCATTGAAATTTTATAATATACTGTATTATTGAAAGTAAGTAATATAAAAGGATAGAATATTTTATTCAATTTTTAAGGCATATTTTGTTAAAATAATCCTGTCAAAATTAATTAAATTTATGGACAAATCACATATTAATGGTAAATAAATGAATCAAATTATAATAATAAATTTTAAAGTCTTTTTAATATTTACAAAGAAACTTGAAAACTGTTGTATGCGAGCGAAAGCTATAACACCAATTACTTTTATGTTTTATTCGGGATTATAAAACTTCTGTCACATAAAATTTATCACATAAAGTATTAACAAGACTTATTGCCAATTCGATGCCATGTGACTGACAATAGATATATAAATAAATGTTTGAGGTGCCAACTCCTATGAAAGTTAAATAGTTTTAATCTTATATAATATATTTACTCAAGTATAATTTGAATTTTAGGAAAAAAAAAAAAAATCTAGTTTATTCTTATTGTGTCACAGCTGAACGAAAAATCGATTTTCACATTTAATAATTCTTTCTATAAGAAATTTTTATTATTTTTTCATAAATTTATTATTAAAAGCTTTTAAATATTGTTTCATTATGAAATGTTTAAGCTAATTAGAATTATTTACAGATAATTACAATTAAAATTAATAAATAGCAAAATTTATTTGGATTTAAAATAATTTTATTCTAAGATATTTTAACAGAAATAATTCTAAATTTGAGTAATAAATTCAGTTAAGATTTCTGTTCAATTAAGATTTATTTTAGTTTTTCTGTTTAGAACGATAGGACTTTATCTAATTGGGTAACTATTTTTAAAAGTCAACTTTGAAAGTTCTTTGACATTAAATCAAAAACAAAAAGTAAAGTTTCTAATTATATAATCTAAATTAATTCGGACGAAAGACAAACAGTCGTATCGTAGATCTGGCACTGTTAAGTGTTGAATGCAAATGAGGGAAAGCATCAAACATGATTTTTCAGATATTAACTTGACAAATACATCCAAAACAACATGACGAATCGTCAACACGTGTACAATTACTTTTTCTCTTCGTATATATTGCAAGTATTTATTTATTTATTTATTTTGAAGTAAATTTAATTAACTAAACGCATGAATTCTTTCACTTGTCAATTAAAACTCTCGAAAATGCATGTTTAAAAATAGTATATTTATTAGGCCACTTGTTAATGTCCTTAGCTATTTTCTTTCCTATTAAACTGAATTTTTTTAAATATATAAATATAATAATTTAAATTTATAAAAACATTATCTTGAGAAATTTAATAAAATATTTTAAAACTAAATTTAAATAACTTCATTTAGATTTTATTTAACTTAACTGTTTAAGTTATTTAAATAATATAATACATCTACATTTTTAAACAACATATACTGAATTATGTTTAATTAATCAGTTTAAAGTCATTTGAAATTTAATAAAATAAGGTGAATTTAGATGAAATTACATTAAAATAGCTATAAAATTGAAAGGTTTGTGAAGGTATTAGTATCCATAATTAAAAACTGCTATGCATTCATAATTAAAAAAAAAAAAAAAGGCAATATAATATAAATAGAATTTTCCAATTCTTAGAAGAGATCAATAAAGTTGTGGCTTACAATTTAAAATTCTTATTTTAATGAATGTTGATGAAACATTAAGTATCACTCCTTTTATAACAAATTACCTGTAATTCTAATAAAAAAAAAATGATGATAATATTGTAAATATATTTCAAATTAAAAAAAAAATAAAAAATATAAATTCTTATTTCTTTATATAATATATATATATATATAATTTTATAGCCATTTTAATGCAATTTCACCTTAAAATTCAGCTTATTTTATTAAATTTCAAATGACTTTAAACTGATTAATTAACAAAATTCAGTATATGTTGTTTAAAAATGTAGATGTATTATATTATTTAAATAACTTAAAGAGTTAACTTAAATAAAATCTAAATAAAGTTATTTAAATTTAGTTTTAAAATATTTTATTAAATTTCTCAAGATAATGTTTTTATACATTTAAATTATTATATATATATATATTATAAAACTGATGACAATGCCATAAGATCCATCAAAGTATCAAGCAGCTAAGTAAGCAAGCCAATGACACAGTCCTTTCTTATAAAAATTGGCTTGCTTATTTATTTGCTCAACGCCTAACGTACTCATAATTTAAATTCTTATTTGTATTTGTATATTTTCTGTTGCTTATGTATAAATTCTGATAATTTTTTAAATTTAATTTTTTAATATTTTATATGTAATATTTAAAAATAAATATTATAAATATTTAATATTCTTTAAATGTTTTCAAGGTATCCTAACCTTGAAAAGTATTTAAATAATATTAAAGAACAAACATGACAAACTGTTTTTGTACATACTAATACTTGAAATGTTGTAATATATACTATTTGTCAGTTTGTCACTAAATATAACTGTTTATTAATTAACTGAATTTGTAAGTGTTGTACTAATTAAACACGTTATATAAGCATGTTTTTTTAACAAGAAAAATTCATGAGAATTTAGTTATGTTTTTGTATTTTTCTTCTGTTTTGGATGATGAAAAAGCTAATACTACAAATAGTTATTAATTAGATATATTATTGGTCTATACATTCATCACAAACACTTCAAGAATACAGATATGGTCTTTTAATTGGATGAAAATGATTACCGTGCATAAAGCAATTTTATAAAAGGATTTATTAATATATTATATTATAAATTATATAAAATTTATTACACGTAATATTTGAAAATGAATATGGAAAAAAATGCATATTATAAATAATTTGATGTATTTTAGTTTCGTAGAAATTTTAAATTTTGAGTTTAAGAAATACTTCATTTTTATTGGTTAATAATTTATTATTACAATTCAAACAACAGTTTAAAAAAATTTTTATAAATTAATTTGGAAATTTATCGGCAATTATTGCTTGTTTAATACGATTTTGTAATAATGTATTTAATAATCACAAAATTATGTTAATTCCAGAAATTTCTTTCTCCCGATCATGTAACAACTTTACATAACCGTCGTGTAGCGCCTGACAGCTCGTCATTTACACGAAAATACAAAATTAAAATTTTCGTTTCGAATAAAAACAACAATAATAATAACAACTGTTTATTAAATATAAAGTACGAATTTACTCCGAAATCTTCATTCATATATCGCTGTTCGGTTGGATCATATCAAAAAATTATTTCCGTCCGTCCTTGAGATTAAAAAAGACTTCACCTTTCGTAAAAATAACATTTTACGAACTTTAGAGTAACGAATGTTTGCTTTATAGTTAAAATTAGAACAACAATGGCATCGTTGTTTAGTATTTATTCGCTTTCTCTTAATCGCTATCTGTCGCGATTATTGTGTAAATTTTTTCTCTCTTTTTTTTTTCTCTTAAGTCGATTTATGAAGTCAGATGGCGCTGCGAGGGAGAAAATATCGTCTGCCACAAAGTTATTATTGTTTGGTCTTTTTGAACTCTGCCATTTCCAAAGATGGGTACCGTCCCTTACAGGTGGCTCAAAGCACTTAGAATTAAGAACGTACTAGCAAGGGAATTTCTAGCCGAGTTTCTTGCTACGTTCGTATTAATAGTAAGTAAAATCATTTCGAATGTAATAGTTAAATAAGTATTTTATTTGTGAATGAAATTCTAGAAGGCATCTCGGTTATTTCAACTTTAAAATGAACTTTTAACCTTTTGCTATAATAATTTTAAGTATTTTTTTTTAAGCGTGCAATGAACGTGTAAGTAGTTTATTTTCAACTGCGTTATTTTTATCCATGGCAGTTCGAGTGGATAAGTTATGAAATTCGCTTTAGTCGTAGATTTTTTTTAATTTTTAGCTTTTACACAATGCGAAATTTCACTCCAAATGATTATTTCTACTACGAAATTTAAAATGAGAGTGTAAACCTGCATCCACCTGTGTTAAGGATGTGACCTTGACAAGGATAAATAGAAGTATCTAAGACTACTCTTGCTCCTCTTTTTGAAAAGTTGATAATTGTTTCACATAACGTGATCGAAATTGCTAAATAAACTTACAAATATTGCTGTTTTGTAGAAATTCATCATTGGACGAAAAGTATTGTTGAATGAATTCTTTCAAAATTAATTAGAAAAAACTAGCAAATCCATTTTGTTTTCTATATTTCTTTCCCCTTTTATCTGAATAATATTGATCTCTAAGAGGAAATATGCTGTTTTGAAGGTTTATTATTATTATGATCGTAACTGTTTACCAGATTACAAAAATACATTTAGAGTTTATTTAAAATGTATGTTTAAAGGATATATTTACTTTTGATCTAGAAAAATATATTTATAAATTGTTTGGATTCTCTTCTGTTAATAAATAATGGATTAACATAATGCATATTTTGTGAGTGATTTATATATATAAAATTTTAAAAGATTTTTAACTACTGTATTTTGGGATTTATTTTTCAATTTTCTTAGTATTATTCGATTAATTGCATATATTAGGGACAAACAGAAATCAAATTGTCGTAGCATGTGTTTAATTTAACTTCTTGGATCTGTTTATATAATTCATCTTTAAGTGTTTTTACTCTGGTTTATATTAAATATAAGCTTATAAGTATATATATAAGCTTATAATTTTTCTTCCTTTATATCAATAGTTGTGAATAATTCCACTCGTTCGAATTTATCATATGTAAAGTTACGTTAACTTTGTGATAGTTTTACTATATATATTTTACTCACAACGCGTTTTTAAATAAGTTTTTAGATATTTTACAAGAAACAATACAATTTAAATTAGTATTGGAATATGTGAAGACCAATTTTTTAAAATGTATTATTTCATTAAGATGTATTTACTCCAATCATAATAAAAGTATAATCGATATAGCATTTTTGCAACGATAAAGTTAACTACAAATATAAATACAAATAATGCAGATAAATATAAATAAATTAGTTTAAAATGACAGAGAAAGAGTCCATTTTAAAATGCTTGGAAAGAAGAATTAAATTTGTACCCTCTTGCCAACCATTTTTTTCACACATGTCGCAGTTGCGAATATTGCTCACTCTATGCTCAGTTTCTCAAGTTAATTTTGTGTAGACGTCTTTGCACTCGGCATATTGTGATAGTACATCAATAAAATTTTTGTACACATTCTGCACAACTGTTCAAATTATCCATCGTTCAACCCAAGATTGTCAAATAGTTTAGTTTTTAAATAATATCTTATTTTTAAAAAGAAAACTAAAGCGAATTTTAGACCTTTTTAAATATAGTTATAATATGAAACGCAAATAACTGCTCAAAGGTTAAATTCCGAAGATTGCAAAGGTATGTCAGTCATGTCAAATCGATCGATAATTAAATTAAGAAGTGCAAACAAAATCTGACGGTTCATTATTTTGAACAATGAGATTAAATTTAAAACTGTTTAGGCATTAATACCGTTAAAATTAGTTTACATTGATTTTAGTTTTTTTTTTAATTCATTTTATGTAGGCACATAATTTAAATACCTGCATTCTTAAGTGTTGTCATCTATATCCATAAAATTTATAACCGAAAAAAATTTGTAGATAAAAATATTAATTTTTAAGTTCCCAATAATTCTGTATATATTTAGAACTTCGTTTAACAAATGAAATTGAATTTTTATCGAAACAATAAGGCGTTTTTACTTTAATGAAAATTGAACCTGTTTTGCTATTTCAATGGAAATTAAATTGCTGTATGTCTATTTTAGACTCGTTGTCAAGCAGTCTACATATAACTTTTGTCTGCATGTTGTCTACCAACAATTTACTGAATAATGTTAGACTTGACTAATTTATCACACAAAAGCTTGCCAATAATCTATAGTATGTAGAAAAGTTGCCATGTTTCGATTGTGCATTTGAACTGCGTGACATTGAATCTTAAAAGTAGAATTTTTTTGATTTCGCTAAATCCTATAAATTCTCTAATGAAAGTATCAAGAATAAAATCCGACTTAAAGCTGTTTTGACACTTTTAACAATTGAAGAAGTAAATCTATGAAAAAAAGTTAAATATTTAGATTATGTAAACATTATTTACATTGCATTTTTGTTTAATTTATTATGTTAACAATTCTCCGTATATTTTGAAAATTTATAAATTTTATTTCCTTTTATTGTAAATGTTTCCTGTTTTTTGTTTAAAACACTGTAGTTATAGCAATGTTTATAAATAAGCTTATATTATGTAGTTAAAGTAAATATTTCAGGCAGATAGTTTACAAGAGATACCACTATCAATTATTATATTAACTTAATTTTTTAATACTGTATTTTGAATGACTCAAAGATTAGGCCCGAATGTTATTGTTGAAACTTAACATTATTATAATGAATATTCGCGTTTCTATTATTTTTTACAAAATAAATTTGTTAGTTTACTGTGTAAATAATTAGTTTAGCAAATTTAAATGTTTAAAGAATCATTAATTAAATGCTATTTAAGTACCAAGAACATGTATATCGATCGTTTTAGAGGTAATTTATTGCTGACGAAATAATTATAAATAAAAAACAACTTTAAAATTTTTACATACCACATTTTTATATTAAAAGTAGGACGTTAAGTCAATTGCTGATATGTAGAATAATCTGCATTTAATTAGGAAATTAGTATTAAAAAATGTATACGATAAAAAAATATATAGCTTATTTTTGATTAGATGTAATCTTAGTTTCTTAGAAAAATTTATTGTAGTCCTAGATTTTAAAAAATTAGACTTTGAAGCAAACGAATTTTGCACGAAAAATGTGTCATATTTAAAGCATATTGTACCGTACGGTACATACCGAAACTGATGTAAAAAACGAAACCGTAAATGTTACACCAATAAACATATTATTTTAAAATTTACATAAATTTTTAAGTATCAAGTTTACTAAAAATTAGTAAAATTGTTATGCCGGAACTAAGAACATGAACTATGTGTTAACTGGATTTCATTTAATTATGTAATAGCTTAACTTGTTTCAGAAAAATTCCTTACCAACATCTTTCCAACAGAGTTGACTTAGAATATTATAAATCGAAAATATCTAGAAATGATATTTTATTAATACTTTATCAACAAAAGTATTAGATCGATTTAATAATTACATTTTATAGGCGCAGAGAGATACATTAAAGTTAAATATTTTTTTATTCCTCAATTAGAGGAATCAAAAAATATTTAACTTTAATGTGTAATTTAAAAAAATAAAAATATTGTTTTACACAAATGCACGTGCAAATCTAATCAGTCACTGCACAACAGGATCTTTCTAAAATTGTTTTCCAGAGTTATGATTCGCATGTTAGTTGAGTTGAAGAAAGAAGCTGCGGAATAGGTAATGATAAGTAGGGACTTTAGTGACAATTTTCTATGCTTAGTTTTGAGTAATTTTTTTGTATATAATCTAAATAACTATTCGATTATTCAATTTATGTAATAAAAGTAAATATCTATATTTTGACATGTTTTACTTATGTGCAAAATATGCTTATTTCTCATTTTAAATGTTCAAGATTGAACCTCAATTTACAATATGACAAAACTATAGCTTTACTTACTGTTTCCAGCAGATAATTTCATAAATAATGCATATTTCTGGAATATAAAACTGCAGCATACTTTAATTTTAACGAAAATTTTCTTGTTTAATGTATTTTTATTTTTAATAGTTATACGGAGATGCTGCATTTGCAGTACAAGTGCTAGAAGGGAAAATAACGGATGTTTTTGCTATAGTTTGGGCTTGGGGTGTTGCTGTCATCTTAGGTGTAGTGACTGCAGGCGGCTTAACAGGTAGCTCTAAATATTTTAAATTCAGATCTACTATTTGTTCCTTAATTTTTCTACTTGTTTTCAGGTGGGCATATTAATCCTGCTGTCACTGTGGCATTTGCTACACTTGGCAAGTTACCTTGGATCAAAGTTCCTGTTTTCTTAATTGCACAGCATCTTGGTGCTTTTGTTGCTTCAGCTGTTCTTTTTGCAACATATTACGGTAATAATTTAGCATTTTTATTAGTTTTTTGTTTTTTTTAATAAATTTAAACACATTTTTGTCAAATATGCATTAATTTTGGATTATGAAAATTTATATCAATAAGCTAGTCGCAATAGTTTAAAACTTTTTAATGTGATATAAATTAGATGCTCTTAACCATTTCGATCACGGTGTTCGAATGGTTGAAGATACGAATGGAACTGCTTCAGCTTTAATATGGGCAACATACCCGAAAGAATTTGTATCAATAGGAACGTGTTTCCTAGATCAGGTATGAAGTTAAAGATTATATTTAAAAACTCTAAAAAAGAATGTAGCATAAATCTGAAATATTTAATTTCTTTTTAAAATTTTATAATTAATAAAAATTGATTTTTTTTAATTTCAATTAACTTGCTTTTTTTAATACAAAAATATATTTCTAAATTTGATTTAAGCTGATAGCTTGTCTTATTTTGAAAAATGAAAAATATGTATAATTAATATTTTTATTTTTAACTATCGCACTTCGACAAGATAAATATGCATTTTATGTACATTTACTTAAAAGTGTCCTTGTATAATTTAATAAATGAAAATAAGTAACTCATATCTATATAATACAGCAGAGAAATTAATTTATGTAGTTTAATATGTCAAACTTATTAGGCTAAATCTTATATTTAAATGTCATGAAGTTAGAAAAATAAACGTTCAGAACACTTTTCCCATGCATATGTTTTGTTTAAAATGAAACATATTGATAATTATTATTTTAAAATAATAGAATTACCCGTTTTACTGCTTTTATTTTACTAATTTTATTTACTATGTTAATTTAGAATTTTTTGAATGAATACTGTTATATATATATTAAAAATTTTTNTAAATTTTAATAAAAAAATATTTCACATCAATCTATGGAGAATTTGCATTATTATACTGAATGTTTATTAAAATAGATTGATGTGAAATATTTTTTTATTAAAATTTATTTGAGTGAAAAAGTTTTTATAAACGTAAACTGACTTTCAGCTAACTATATTCACTAAATTAGTAAATAGTCCAATAGTTATGATTTCAGCCAAAACTAAAAATTAAATACAAAATCATGCTATAATAATTTAATATTTTAAAATCTACGCATTAAATTTGAAAACACTTCAGGACATACTGAAAATATTTTAAATTAAAATACAGGTAATTAGACAGACTTGATATATAACTGATTTCGGTAAGCTGAAACGAAATGTTAATGAATAGTAATTGACTGTCTCATTTACTGACATTTTACTATTAAAGAAATAGTAATAAAAATAAGGAGCATACGTTGAAAATAGATTGCAGAAATGTTAAATGATAAAATTATACATTTAACTACAATGTAAAAGTATATATTAAAATAGTTACTACACTAATACAAACTAATTCTTGAGTAAAAAACTAATAACGAATTTAATTTTCATAGTTTAATTTTTTCTCTTTATTTTAAATTATAATTAAACGAATACAGCATTTGGCCTATTTAAGCATAATTTAGTCATAAATTAAAAAAAAATAATTATTCGAAAGATTTAGACTAATATTATTTATGGTAAGAAGTTGCGAAACAATTCTTAATTTAATATCAGTGATTTTATAGTTTTGATACATATCCTGAATATCTTGTAATTTCTCATCATTTTAATGTTTGTCAACAGTAAAAATAATAACAAAGCATTTAAAAATTTTAAACTGATTTTAGTTCCATCTTTTTAGTAAATAAAATAATTTTGCAAACCAAAATTACTAAACTCATTTTTTAAATGTATATTTATGTGAACGGAACAGAATATTTAAGTTACAGTATATTTAATATAACAAGGAGCACTGAGTTAAAATAAAGATCTGTAAAGGAAACATCCAGAACATCGGAAAGATTACTCAATTTTAAAATATATATGAAATAGAAAATTAACGTTTGAAATGAAAGTTTTTAGATATGATAGAATTCGTAAATGCTATGCTAGATTAATAACCTAGCATAGCATTTTTCAATCAGTTTCAGCAGCTACAGATTTAGTTACGAATGCCTTTTATACTTTGTTGTACTTATCAAATGATCTTTAACACGTTTTTTGTGTTTTAATTAAAGGTAAATTTGTTTGTCCTAATTTCAGTTTCGAGAAAAGATTTTGCCTGTGGGCAACGTTATTTTCATGGACTCGTTTTAAGATTATTCATTTTATATTTTATATATAAAATATAGGCTATAATTGAGTTCATTTGCTGTAAATTTTTGATTGTATGACTTAAAATTTCATTAAATTTGATTTTTAATTTTTAATATTTAAACATTTCAAAAATTCTTTCATATCAACGACGAATATCTTGCGCATAGTTTCACGTTTAATTTGTAAAATTTCAAGTCTAGAAAGAAGAACTTGAAGTTGAGATATAATTTGATTCATTTCCTCTAAACGTTTTCTAGCTACTATATTAATTTAACTACCTCTTCCTTATCCGATATACCACAAAATTATTTTGTATCAAACCGGTTTCCAGTCTTTGAGAGACGGAACTATGTTACTTAAATGTCTTCGACTCTATGATTTGAAACTGCAACACATTAGTGTTTAATTTTTTCGCCATCTGACATATTTATCAACAACCACCATTTTTATAAATAAGGCCCCATACATCATAACCTACATTTTACCATACGTTCAGTACACCTTACGAGTATGCCAAATCCTTTAAGAAGTAAATGTAAACAAAATTGAACCAAATCACCATGGCGTGCTTCTACAGATTTTATCGTACTTTATATCCAAAATAACAATATCCACTAGGTTGGACTTGCTCACCGTGAACAGGGCTATTTAAAAAATGAATACATTAATATAGCATTAATTTTTTGGAATTCTATTGTGTTTTGTTATATTTTGATAGCAAGAATCCTATATTTGTCTCTTGCTTAAAATTTTGTTGCATCTTTGCTAAATCAACTCTCGTAGAACAACTAAACAAAAGAATACTCGTTCCAGGAAATACATTTACAACGTATAATCAAAGAATACTACAGTAAGTTATATGTACGAGTACTTTTTTTAGTAGTAATCACTTTTCGTTGTTTACTAGTCTAGTTTGATTTGCAAGAACTATAATAGAAAATAGTTTCATCCTCCTTTTTACATAAATTATTTCAGAAATGTTGCTTTCAATACAGCAAAAAAAAAAAAAAAATCAAGATCCAATCGTCGGTGAGGGCATCGCTTACAGAAATTGCACCAAAGTCAAGTTAACAAGTGCATCCATCAGTTTTTCTCTGGGCAAAACCGGAGAAAGTAAGTACTGTTGGTCGATTGAGAGCGGCCACGCAAAACTACCACATAATTAATTTAATAAGTGCATAAAACTGCCTTAGTTTATACAGAGAAGCGAATGATATTGATCGTTAATTAATATTGATAGCAATATGTACTCATAACTGTTTTACTTATTTAGAACAAACAATACAAGTACAGAACTTGTATTGTTTGTTCTAATTGTTGAAATATAATGTTACATAATTTTATCCACGGCAGAGCCGGATCATCGCATAGACAAATGAGACAAATGTATAGGGCCCGGTCAAACTGTCTATTTTGAAAAGATTTGTAAATAAGATAGTTTACTTTTCTTTTGGACAACTGTATATAATAAACAAATAAACAAAAATATACAGTATTGATTTTTATATAGTTATAGTGAATTCTAAAATCTAAAGAAAATGTACGTAGATTGTTCAAAAAGTTCCCGAACTTTTTGAATAGCGCGCCTCCAGTTGGTTATTTTTTAATTGGAGGCGTTGTGTCCGCGGAAACCTCCCGAGTAACCTCCTTCAACCCGTTTGTTGATATCTCGATTTAGTGATTAGTTACGGCCGTTTATGTGAAGGGGTGTTTGTGGGGTTCGGCGAAAAATCAGATCCGCGGAAATCAGCTCTTTAAAAGAGCAGCGTTGTTCTGTGAAATTCTGTGTGAAAGTCCGAAAATCCTTCACGGAAACTTCCCACGGGTGGGTGAAACAACTCCCGCTCCAAAAAAGCTCGACAAGTTCGCTCAAATGTTGAGGTGATGTTGACTGTTTTTTTTATGCAAAAGGGGTTGTGCATCACGAATACCTAAATACAGGCCATACAGTTAACACGGAGTACTACTTGGTGTTATGAAACGCCTAAGAGACAAAATCAGGCGAAAACGGCCCGAACTTTGGAGAAGCGGCGAATGTTTTTTTTCATCACGACAGCGCTCCGGTTCATTTGTCCCTCAGAACTCGTGAGTTTTTGGCCAAAAACAAGACCGCTGTGCTTCCCCCTACTCATCTGACCTGGCACAAAGAGACTTTTTCCTGTTCTCCAACAAACTATAAAACACGCTCAAAGGAAAAAGATATACCACCATTCCAGAGAGAAAAAAACGACTGAGGAGCTTATAAGCATTCCGGAAAAAATGTTCCAGGACTGTTTCAAAAAGTGGAAACACCGTTGAAATAAGTGTATACGTTGCAGAGGAGATTACTTTGAAGGGGACTTTGACAAATATGTGAAGTATATGAAGTATTTTTTTTGTAATAAAGTTTGGGAACTTTTTGAACAACCCTCGTATTCTTATGTTTCTTCTAATTGAAAGTAAAAGGGATTTAGAATTTTTTTTTATATTTAATTTAGAATTTTTTTTATAGCGATAAGAATAATAATAACTATATGCATTCTTGAATCCTGTGAAATATTGTTAAATAATTTTGCTTTTATTTTTTATTAAGCAGCTGCAGTGTCTAAATTTTTATGACAAACGGATACATAAATCGTAAATGAAAGGAAAATAAATTCTAGACTGTAGAAAATTCTGTACCTCGTGCATCTCTCTCATTCATTAAATTTAGTTGTAAATGACGCTGTCAAAGTAACAGTTAATTTTTTAACATTATACAAGAATTGTACACGTTTTTTTCTACATCCCCGTAGAGATGGGACATACGAAATCGTAATATACCTGGTTTAACATTGAAATCCGTGAATAATATAAAATCGGAGAGCGGAATAAAAATATCATATATTTTAAAGGATTTTTTAAACTCCTGTCAACTATACCAGAACTATCATAAAAACATACCAGTAAATTCTTATCGGTTGGGTTAAGTTATAAATCTACTCGTGATTCGCGTAATCGGGCGAGGGCGGCCAAATATCTAGCGGGCAGGTGGCTAACAGCCCAGAACCGGTCCTGGATAGAATTGGAAGCGTTATACGTGTGTAGCTTCCACCCAAGGTCCTAGGCCAGTGTTCCGTAACCTTTTTCTACTTGCGGCACACCCATGACTCAATACGGCACACCAAAATGTTATTCCCCTCAAAATCGTATGATATGATACTATTAATAGAATTACGTAATGCCACTAACCTATTATTATTGTTATTAAACAGACATCAACACCTGTGAGCAAATTTTTTACATATAATTTCTTAGAATACATAAAAATGCGTGGTTTGTAATAAAGAATAAACAAACATCATCTTATTTCATCAATACTGCGGCAGAGAATGAAATACAAGCGTAAGAAACACAACTGTGATAAAAATATATAAATAAAATTTGAAATTAGAGAGGTTGAGGCCAAAGTTTTAAACGCGAAAACGTATACGTCGGACGTTTAGCGCCGCCTTCCTGTAAGTCTAGAAGTTTGACAATGGCGTTTGATACGTCGAGCATGATTCCACTGACGTTCCAAACGCCATTGTCAAACTTCTCGGGTTACAGAAAGGCGGCGCTGAACGTCTGACGTACACGTTTTCGCAATGAAAACGTCGGCCGCAACCTCTCTAATAACAGAATATGTAAAAGTTCACGTCACACCTTTCACCATGTGATGGCACATCAGTGTGCCATCACACACGTTGCGGAACACTGTCCTAGGCTTCCGCCAGCTAAACTGGGTGAGGTTGGTGTTCTGTAAAGCGCATGCGCGAATCTCGCTTTTTGGAATCTGACAATACAGAGATTCCACTCCGCCACTAATATTCGAATATACAATTGCGATCTTATCTTTTTTTCACGTAGTATAGAAATTTGTAATAAGATACATAATGCGGATATAATAAAATATCGTGCGATTATTTTCATATAATTAAAATTAATATGTATTTATTTTTTAGAAAATACAAGGGAAGCGGCGCATCCATCGCTTCCAATGACGGCACGCCACTGGCAAGATCTTATATACTGTATTAGTGCAGAGCTGAAATCTTTGTCTCACTAGCAATGTTCCCTCTAGGCTGCGCGGTCGCGCACTGCTCAAATTGTTGCCGCGCACGAGAATTTATGTGCCGCGCAGGCGAGCATGCACACCTATTTGAATTGTTGTTTACTTATTTCTCACTCTGTCTGCAACATGATTATTGCTGCGCATTGCTACAGCATATTTTCGATTAAATACATTAAATCATTGACAAAAGATAATATTTCGTATAAAAGTATGTTTTAAAATGAATTTTAATCTCTACTTTATAATTAATTATTTTAATTTTTTTAGAAAAAAATATTTTATATATATATGCTCAGAAAAATTTTTTGTTCAGAATTGCTCAGCAAAAAATTTTTTTTACTCAGAGAAGTATATGTTCCGCTCATCTAAAAAAAAATTAGAGGAAACATTGCCTAGAAGTTTGACAATGGCGCTTGAAATGTCAATGGGATCATGCTCGACGTTCCAAACGCTGATGTCAAACTTTTAGGCTTACAGGAAGGCGGCGCTGAACGTCCGACATACACGTTTTTGCGTTGAAAACGNTTATACGAAAAGTTGCATCTTGAAGACTCACCTAAGAGAGAAATTTTGAGGTTTCTTGCTGCATATTATTACCTATGTTTTACAAGTCTCTACTTGTTAGTTCATGTAATATCTATGTATTGTGTTTGCGCATCATTGAACAGCGGAGACTTGCTGAAAGTAAATATCACTCATCGCACTTTATTTTTTATTTCATCTTTAGAAATAAATTAGTATTTTTTTCGTAATCATTAAAACTCCCAATGAAACGCTTTATTTTACTTTCATCTTATAATGTAGGAGAACATAAATTAATTGAGCCTAACCTGTCCGTATGGATGAGATTGGCCCTACACTTACTAGAAAATAACTTAAATTATTCGAATTTATGATATTCCTGTATGATCTTTTTTATTCATATAGAATTTTATTTTACTATCTCATCCCGGAATTTCCCGGGATCCCGAGAAAAGAAATTATTTGTCCCGTAATCCCGCTGGAGGCAAATTTCCCGGGAAATGAGAAACCCTACTGCTCAGCAAAACTTTTTTTGCTCAGAGAAGTATATGTTCGGCTCATCGACAAAAAAAATTAGAGGGAACATTGCTCACTAGAACAACTATTTTAAACCTATGAAAGTGCCAAATTTAAAAAAATATTTATTAAATCTTTTTAAATAAAATTTTGAGAACTGGTAGGGATTACAGAGACTGGAAGTCGATTAAAATAATTTTACTTCATAAGAAAGACATGGATATTCAAAAAGTTACAGGCCAATCCGACTTCTGTTGTTAGAAAACTTATCATCGATCCTGGCAAATGGATTTAAAAATGGATTGATTTATATAATTATAGTTCTTTATTAATATATACTTCAGCCATGTACTGTTCAAAAGTAGTCTTCAGTGCCATTTTTGTGTTGTATTCATTTCGAAAACAAATTTCGAAGGAGGGAGAACGTTTTTCGAAATTCTTTTGTTAATTTACGAAAAGTTCTTGATTCAGTGATTGTTTTTTTTTTTTTTTTATTTTACTGACTAAAATGAAATTAACTTATCAAATTCAGAAACGTTAAAGACGAGTTTTATTTGCAGGATTATTGTACAGATACTAAACATCAGAAGATGATTCGGGATTTTTTTTTAATGCTAAAGGTTTAATTCTTAGGTCCTTTATTGTTTTTATCTTGTGAACGATTTGTCGCAATGGTTTGTCAAACATGACAATGACGGATTAATCGATTATTCCTTAGCATTATATATGCGTCTTCATTGTGGGGGTTGATAGAATAGTCTGTGAATAAATTTCGAATGATTTTTGTAACGACGAATTTTTGGATTAGAGAATCCAGTTCCCTTCTACGCATTATATGCAATACTTAATATACTGTATAAAACTTTCAATACTGAAAGCGTCTGTAAACTTTCTAGCAAATTCTGTATACAAATTTAAAATTTCTGGAATATTTGGGTTACAGATTAACCGAATCACCAACAAGAAATATATTTGATTTATATAAATGTGGTATACCAGCGACCGAGTGGATAAAACCACTGAAGTTGTAGTTGGTAGTGAGTTCGTGCCTAACTAATGGGTTGGCCGCGTTGAGTTTATCGGGTTCTCTTTACTTATCGAACATCTACCTAGCCGGATGTGCACATTTTGCTGCATTGTGCATATCCGGCGAAAAAGATATGACAACTTTCTAAAAGCCTACAAAGAAAACGGCCGGATAGCCGAGCGGTCAAGATGGCAGCCCACAGCTATGGGGGACTAGGAATCGAATCCGTAAGTATCAAAAAAGTCCCAGGAATTTTTCAGGTGGTGGTCCGTCAGGATTTCTTGGGCCCCGTCCCTCACCCCCAGCTTCCCCATTATGGGCCTGACTGAATCTATAATGGGCTTGCTAAAAGAGGCTTTCTAAGGGCGGAAAGAGTTTAAAAAAATAATAAGAAATCATATTAAAAGCGCAATAATGGGTCTGTCTGCTAGTTAGAAATATACGAACGTTTAAAGCAGTGTTTTTCAACTTTTTCTAGGAATGGCACCCCAACTTGTAGGGATGCCGCAAAAAACCTCATCTTTATAGACGTAGAGTTACGTATACTATATTACCAAAAGTACGAAAAGCGCGGTAAAGTGTTGTGGCGCTGCACAGCACTATATTATGTGGCACCCTGTTGAAAGTCACTGGTATAAGGAATAGTTATAAATTCGGAAAATGGTTTGGAGATGCCTGTAATCAGTACCAAGTGACCGTTTAGTGAGTTTAAATATCCTGTTGAAATTTTTACATTGTGCTAGGTAAGGAATGATGCATATCACTTAAATTATGTTGCCCCAAGTGTAGATTATTCTATAGAATCATATCAAAATCTTATCAAAAGTCAATCTGTAGACTTTAATTTTTTCGTTTCCTTACTTCGCGACGCGTTTCGGCTTTAATTACTGTAATCTGGGACAAAAATTACATAAATCAATAATTAGAGAAATTTTATAAAATTTCCAGAGGTTTCCGTCGATGCTATAGCAGAACAGATCCTAATAATTCTAGAATAACATTCTTTACATTATCTCCTTTAGATTATAATTTGTTATTTCGCTGCAATTACGCGAAATTATTTCTTCTTCCTTTCTTTTTAATTCTGAATTGATACTTTCAAATAGTGGAAAGCATCTTAAAAATAATTATATCGGATGCTAAGTAATGGATGAACTAAACTTTTTAAGCAATGTTTTTCATACTACTACTGAATGTTTTTCTATAATTTAAATTCAATCTGAGGTATATCGGTTTCAATAATTAAAGAAACAATTCAACGCCAACAAAGAATATCAAATACCTTTATTTATCTGAATTTTTACAACTCATGTATCAGTTTTGCATTCCTTAAATACTCTCACGTACTGAAATGTGCTTCAATTTTTTTAACAATCGTTTATTATAAGAAGAAAAATTTCTTTTCTTCGCAGAGTTTATAATTTTAGCGCAGCGCTTCTTGGAGTAAAGAGAATGTTTGGCTCAACGATTTGTCACCAGTGCGGACCTTAGCCGGCCCTGGTGACAAATAGTTGATGGTTGTTACCGATTGGTTGACAACCATCTTTGTTTTCTATGTGAAATTAACTGATTGCATTTTATTTTAACTAGATCTTAGTATTGTTTTAATTCTTTACTATGTATTGAGTAGATGTGGAAGTATTGATCGCAGTGCGTTCATCTCTTTTAATTTTTGTTTGGTTTGGTTTATTTGTTTACGGCGACGCGACACATAGCGATCTGCCGAGGGGGGTGCCTCCCGAAAGAAAATCCTATGGGAAACTGGTCCCTATTTAGGTGTTACAAACATGAGAAAACCTGGAAAACCTGGAAAACGTGGAGTTTTGTGACCTCGTCACGAGTTTGTGACCTCGCTAACGGTTTTCTATTCGGTAGTTTTGATGTAGATTAAGAAAATTTCTTCTATTCGTTTAGTCCATTAATGGCTGAGTGAAAATAACCATTGAACACTGGTCCCACGTGGATTCACGCCTCGTGAATGGGCTAGTCGCATGGAGGAATTTTCTTGGTTTTCTTTGCATGTCTAACCCCTAAATAAAGGTCAATTTATAAAGAAAGTCCTCCCAGGAAGCACCCCCTTGAAAGATCATCGATATGTTGTGTTGCCTTAAACCAATGGTGCACAACATGCATCCTGTGACTTCATGCTATGTGGACATAATAATTTTCTTTAAAATAAAAAAAAATGTACAACAATATAAATCTCTGAAGTTAATTACATACCATTTATGAGTATGATATAAAAAATTCATTCGAGATAAAATAATTATCATAACTTCTTATATCTGTAAAAACCAATTTAAAAGTAGATACGGATAGCGATTCTACAACTTCAGATCTCCATAAACGCCTTTTCCTTTGTTCAAAGTCACAAAGTTACTTTATTCGGTGTTTCAGACAGACATTTGTCATCGTAAATCTCCCCAAACCACTAATGATGCATGTGCTGTACGGTACATATGCAACGCTCTTAACTCTCTCCCATTTATTTTGTGTGTAGTCCACCCATTAACTTATATTGCAACTAATAACGGCTCTACTGAGTTGCAAATACAATAGCTGATTATAAAAGTTGATAAATACTACTCATATTTGTGGGACTCACATAAATCATTTTCTTACAGAACTTCCGTGTACAGAACTTCTTTTCGTATTTCGAGCAGTGAAGATAGGAGAGAATATATAGCGCTAACCACCTGAAAATAACACAGTTTATGAAAAACATTAATAAGTGTATTTGTGTTAAATTAAACGCTTCAAATTCATTTTCTCAACATTTTTAGAGAACAAAAAAAAAAAAGAAATACTTATTATCTAAGTTATGTACAAGTTACTTTCCTTTACAAGTTAAAATAATAATTATTTTTAACTATAATAATCGTATTTTTATTAATTAGAAGTTTAACTTACCCTAATCAAAAACTACTTTTTAATAATAAAGAATACATTAACAGATAAGCCGATTAGAGTTTGCTGAATCTCTTCATAAAGTTTAATACCTTTTGGAAAATTAACATTCGGCATTTAAATAATGGGGAAAATGGAAATGTTGTGTATATACATTATATGTCTAGCATTCGCATTACCTTTAATTTATATTATATCGAAACATTTTGATCGAAATAGAATTTGTTGCATTCGTTAAAATTTCCATAGACCTGAAAATTTAAGATTTTGAACAAAGAATTAATTAATGTGAAAATCTTGTTTAAAAATTGAAAATAATTATAGAAAACTTACAGCAGATGTGAAATGAGATAACAGAAACGAAACTATAATCAGTGCCGTCGAATTTACAAAAGATATCAAAAAACAATATGTTCAGAAGAGGGTTCAAGTCATAAAGAATCAATATACTCAAAGTAAAGAATGAAATGTGAACAAAATAGCCGTATAAATCTGAAATGTATAACAGAAAATAGGTATGCTTGTTAATTACGATACCAATCTTTCTGGCATTTCTATAATAGCTTACTTTGATTTGAACAAAATATTCATTCAGTTTCTTCATTCTTTCTGTAAATAGTAACATGCAAGTAATTAAAATGACACCAACAGAAAAGATTTGACCAAGAGTACAAAATTCAAATTACAAAGCGAGACTTCGAGAGTGAACTTTGCATTAATTAAATGATATCCATGANATTTTGCTTTTATTTTTTATTAAGCAGCTGCAGTGTCCGTATGCGATTTAATAGAAATAATAGTCACAAAATTTATTAATTGAAAGAGCCGGCAGGGGACCCTGAAGAAGAAAATGTCTAGGGCCCCAAAATGGGTTAATCCGACCCAGATCCACGGTCTTTGAGGGGGATTGCTATTTGTTATGTGTATTGCTTTGCAAACTTAGAATAAATATCATATCGTTATATATTTTAGTGAATAGTATTAAAAAACGAAATAAAAACAGATGTTTTGAATATGTAGGCACATTTTTGTCTTGAAGTAGATACTTTGAGAGCTGTTAAGAATTGTTTGTTTTTGCTATCTAAATTCAATTTGGTTTTTGTTTACGTTATAATATATTGCTTCGTATAAAGGTCTAATCTTACTGGATTTAGCCGATATGGGCGAAAGATAAGAAATAAATAGAACCTGACTTAAAATCCATGAAAAAATGACGACAATCCTGATCGGATTAGAGTTTGAATCTTTACAATATTAAGAGAACCATAGCTATTCGACTTTCATTATTTTTTTGCAATCCCAATTAAAGTTAAATAGGATGACATACAAAAATATTTGTATTCTTAATCAGCAATTCTCAGTGAAAAATATTAATACCTATTTCGTCAAAAATATTTTTGGAATATAATTAACATAATTGGTTCGTTACTGTAATTAAATTTTTGTTAGAAAACTGCGTGTTTATGTAAGGTCTGTAAAGAAATTATACACAAAATTTCAAGTATGTTTAACTTCACTCTATGTTTATACGAATTTAACAGTTAATATGCTCATTTTCATAAATAATTACAGTACTCACAAATAAAAATACTCAAATTTCTGAGTGGAATTAATATAAAAATTACAATCATATCTGTTTTTTTTTAAATTATTTTCGCACTGTTGGCATTAAGAGGACCTCTTTTCGCAAGTCCATTAGGAGTTGGGCCAAGCCACAATGGGGAGGCCGGCTGGTGAGGGACTGGGCTCGACATATCCGGACGGAGTATCCCCCGAAAAATTCCTGGGGATTTATCGACCCATCCGGATTCGAGCCCGGGTTCCCCAGAGCAGTAGGCTGCCACCTTGGCCGCTTGGCCATCCGGCCGCCGTCAACCAAATCTGCTGTAAAATAATTATGCATACAGTATACAATGTACTTCATTAGCAATATGAAAATTAAAATACGGTGTATAGCATTTACCTTCTTCCCATAATTGTATCATTTTGACTTAAGTTTCTACAATACAAAATGCCAGGAGGGAAAAAAGCGAGAAAAATCTTTACAAGATTTTACTTGTCCGTGATTTGAAAGCAGATTGCAACACTTCTGAAAAAAATCTATTGGAGAAGTACTGTACAAAATGTTATTTAAAAAGGTGACCAAGATGGGATAAATAAATGATCAGATGAAAACAATCTATAGAGTGAGAGAAAGAAGAGTTTTCCATCTTGCTACCTCAAGAAATGTCTACACGTTGTAATTTTTGTTAATTCATAACTCAGAAATTTGAATATTTTTATATATGAATATGATGTATTTTAGTAGTAATTTATAATAATGTGCTTATTAATTGTTAAATTGGTATATGTAAATATTATGTGAAATTATAAATTTCAAGTGTTTGTATAATTTCTTTACAGACCTTATTTATTAAAATGAGCATGTAATATGCCAAAACATTAATTTCATTTTCAACTTGCAATTCGGTCTGTTTAATTGGGCTGCAATTTGAAAAAATTGTAGACCCTATAAACTCCACTGACGTCCGTCTGTCTTAATCTCGAGAACGGAGTTACATGAAATCCGAGATCAATGTGGAAAAATTAGGGTCAGGAGGCCCGATTAACTGTATATAAACTTCCGGTTTGGAATAGAAATCACGTTTATTTCAATTCGAAAATTTTCTTCTGTAAGGAGTTAGATGACTGCATGACACTGTTGCTAACAGGAAAAGTATGATGTACAGTACAAAGGCAAGACGCTACTAATTTGAGGTGGAGAGTATATATTTTAAATTAAACGATTAAAAATTGCAGCCCGGCATTGCGACGATGTCACAATACAATAATAAATAATTGCTCGTTAGTAATGATGTAAAAGAATTATCATTGAGGCATTTTTAAAGCAGCAGCTCATTAAAACAGTCATTTATTTTTCTTGTTAAATAACTTATTTTAATTTTACATCATACAGAAAATTTAGAGGGAGAAAACAATTTGAAATTTTTATTAATATAGCACTTAAATTGAATATTCTACGTAGCTAAAGCATTTTTTTTTTTTAAATTGTCATGTCGAAAATACAAGTTATACATATATATATATATATATATATATATATATACTGTATTAGTAATGTTTATTAATTTGAATTATTGAATTTTTAACGTTAGTTTATTTTGAACATAAATTATTATTTCCATCCGAATGATTTGATTGGTGTTTCTAATATTAAAATTTAACCTAAGCAAAACTGAAATCTTTATTCACTCTTATGATACAGTTAATATCGGGTTATTCATAAACTCCCTTTATTTTTCCATCAGTCGCATTCATAGTTGCTTGATTTGCAACTTTCATGGATAACTTTTTACATTTTAATAGCATTAAAGTTTACAAAAAAGAAATTTAAATGGACAAAATACCTTATCACAATTTTTAAACATTTTCTGATAGAAAATTTTATTTTTACACTTACATAACTTATAATTATAAAATAATAACTTATAGAAAAAATACTGTAGGCATCTCAATTTGATATCTTAAATGTATAAAGTATACTGTAGTTCTGGTCGAAATTAAAATTATTAAAATATACAGGAATAATAATCTGAAATTCATTTTTGGAGAAATTTATATCAATTTTATACGTTGTTTTATTTTTATTGTTTTTTATTTTTAACTTTTGTATGATGAAATTTCAATTTTCGTTACTATATAGGTATTTGTCAAGTGTCTTCTCAAATAACAATTATTTAAATGAATAATCATCTTGTATTACTGAAAAATACTTTGCATATTGCATTACGTTTGTTTTACTTTCTGTACTCGTTTAAAATCCGTATCTAAAAACAATCTTGTTAGCAATTACGCTTTATACCGTAGACAAGACATTTGCCTGGGGTCCCATTTTTAAGGGACACGAAATAAATTTCAGTCGATTTATTGCTCCTATCTTATATTCCGTTTGGTAAAGTATATATTACATAATTAATCCCCGAGTCAACAGATAACGTCTGTTAAAAATTAGTGGTACAGATACATATTCGTTGCCATTGCCAAATTTATACGTAAGCGAAACAAGCTTCATATAAATTCCGTATAAATTTATTATAAAAAGCCTTCCCCTTCACCAAATGTGTTTTGTTATAGCTTAGGGCCACAACAAATCTAAATCTGGCCTTGTTAAGTACACTTATATATAAAAACACTTAAGTATAGGATGTGTGAATCCTCGAAACTTTGTCTGGGTTCACCTAAGATCCATAACGCACCACTGCTTGTTATGTATAAACTATCTTTCCAGTGTAGTATTTCATTTCAAATTATCATAACATTTTTTATACTAACAATTTTTATTTACACTATAGTCAGGAATTCACACGTAGTCATATTCTCCGTATTGTAAATCGCCCATTAGATAATAAAATGACAGTTTAGACATTTTACTAGATTTCCGGGGAATTGGATGATTCAATATTAATTCAATATTAAGTCTATATTTACAATGTGGGACTCCGAATAAGAAAAAATTCAATTTTATAATTTTTTACGATTAAATAATTAAACATAAAGTTTTCTTTGCTCAAAATTGTTTCGAACAGATACACAACTTAAGTTCTAAATTTTAAGTTTGTTTTTTGAATAATTGAATTTAATACTTCAGATCGTTGGCACAGGATTATTGATGTTTACAGCATTGGCGACAATTGATCCTCGAAATATGCAAATGCCGAAATGGATGCACCCAATTGTCTTAGGATTTATGATTTCGGCTACAGCCATGTGTTTCGGATTGAACTGTATGGCACCCTTGAACCCTGCACGTGATTTTGCAACCAGAGCATTTACTTCATGTGCAGGATACGGAGCAAGTCCTTTTACGTAAGTAGCACTTCATGTTTTAGTATAATGCAAATTAAATCGGTAAAACCGAAACATTGTTTTCCTACAGATACAGAAACTATTGGTGGGTTGGTGTGGTGGGACCACATGTAGGAGCAATTGTAGGAGGATGGATTTATTATCTTGGAATAGAATTACATTGGCCCGATCCTGAAGAAGAATTTGACAAAGAGATGGATTATATAGAAGCCAAAAATAAGAAATAGGGGTAAATTTTTAAAACTAGTAAATCAAATAATTTGGAAATAATTTTCATCTATTTTCGGAGAAATTTAAAGTTATAAGAAACTATTATTATTACTACTACTAAAAATACAGATTAAATGAAAAATATTAAAATCTAATGTTTATTAAAATCTAAGAAAAAAAATATTAAAATCTAAACATTAGTTAATGTAATATTAACTAATGTTTTTCTTTTTTCTTGCAGATAAAAATTACATAATTTATTAGTGAAGTGAATGTAGAAGATCATAATTTCGGTTATTTAAATAGCTTCAGCGTCAAATGCCCAAAATTCCATGCATGTGGAAAGAATTAGTAGTTTTTCACTTAGTAACTGCTATTACGATTTGACGCAAATGGCTTTATACTACAAACTAGATTGCAATATGTATATACACAGTTAGATATCAACTGTATTGTTAATTTTGTAGACACTTTTATAAATCGGAAGAAAAAACAATTTATATATTTTTTTGTAAAAGAAATTTTTTTTAAATCGGACGACAAAAATCATGTATTAAGTTTGTACTAGAATATTATAGTATTTATTATACAGTGTACATAAATTGTCAACTTTAGATGCTAAAAATTGTTTTGATAAGTGTTTTGTGGCACCGACTTTTTGTAGATGATTACATAATAAAGTTATTTAAAAAATCGAAAATGATTTCTCACTTATGAAACGTTGAAATATTTTTTTTTATTAATATAATATTTTATGAAGCGCTCTTTTAACGTATGGTATTAAAAATAACCCTGAAAAATTAGAAACAGACTAAAAAACTAAAATATCACGAATATTTTAAAATTAGAATTTCAGTATATCCTTGTCTAATTAATTTATCGAAAAATAAAAAAAAATTGTTCATTGACAAATTCAAATTTAAAATAGTAAATATTGTAGATTTAAAGCACAATATATCGTAATTTATAAACTTAATCAAAAATCTTGTAAATTTTATCTATTGATTTCTCTTGTAAAAAAATTTTCACTTTAGTTCATGACTTCTTGCATATTAATATATATCAATATGCAAGATCCAATGGCGTGCTGTGACATTTGATGATAGAGAAGCAGCGTTTCTGTAAGAAGCCGACATCAAGGGGCAATCAGTCACTTGCGCGTCAGTGATGGTCTAGGGCAGTGGTTCTTAACCTTTTTATACTCGTGACCCACCAAATATTTCATAATTTTTTTGATCCCCATTTTTTAATAATAATTTATATTTGTTAAATTATCTATAATAAATTGATTTTTTTATTATTGCTTTATTTTTTTATACAATAAATGTGAAACATAACTTTGAATAACATTCAAACTCCACAATTAAACATAAAAACCCATTAATTTTTAACAAAAAAATAAACTAAGAAACATTTAAAAATTTATAAAAACAAACAAAAAATATTCGAAAATACGTACTTGCGAAAGGCAGCAAATTTTGCATTACTGCTGAGAACGGGGGATTTTCTGCACAAATTTGTATCCAAAATTCCAAGCATTAATAGTTTCTTAGAATTACTTTGAAATAAAAGAAGTAAATAGTGCGATGTAAGTAGCATACAGTATTTGCATTTATTTCTTCTGTACTAACAAAGTTGTATGTAGGAAAAAATAAGAAATAAAACTAAATACGAAAACTTACTCTTTCTTATTTCATTTTCCAATACGATTTTCTTTTTATTATCAATATTAATTTTCTTTTTATTATATTCTGAAGGAAATTTGCATAATTTAGCGGCCCCCGGCAAACTTCTTAAGGACCCCCAGAGGGCCGCGGCCCATCTGTTAAGAAACACTGGTCTAGGGTCCATTCGTATCGTTTATTCGATAAGTCAGTAAAAACCGTAGACTTTTCTAAATGCATTTTTAATGTAACAATTAGATTCCGAATCGCTAACCACGATATAAGGGGTACAATTAAAAATAAAATAATAAAAACTTACTTGGTGAAATAAAATGTGTGGTAGATGTACCGGACATACCTGATACAAAATATTCTTCAATATTATGAATATACTTTTAAAGAAAATTATAATTAAATATAGCTTTGTAAAGAAACGTACATAAAAATATAAAATATTCTTTACTTTTTAAATCTTAAAACAACGCACTTAGTCAAATACGAGTGGCTAATGGATGGAATTGAAGACTGCCAAATCCCCAGGGTGCCCATACCGGTCAATGTCAAATACCTCTTTGTCGCATCACTAGTATATCTCAAACGACGCGACCGGGCTGTTGTAGATTTTAAACGTTTCTCACCATAGCTGTAAAAATCTAAATATGTTAAACCTAAAAGTCACTTGTTTTCTAACTAAATCGTTTTATGACCAAGTGTCCTCAGAAATTTCCAAAATTTACAACTTTTCGGTCACTCTCATTGAACTGCAAAAATTTCTGTTTTATTACGTCTAATATTACGAAGAAATCAGTCCCCACTGTACTCTGCTAGAGATTGGGTCGGTTAAGCTTTTGTTTAAGTAAAATTTCGGCTCTTTCATCGGGGTTTTGTTAATATCCCCAATTCCCTAACCGCTTAATTATTTAAGTACTTCTTAAGTAGAAATAAGTCGAAACCAGTTACTTTGTACTCGAATATTTGTAGNATAAAAACTAATAAGAAACAAATATAAAATTGTATATTTTTCAGCAAATAATTTTTTTCCATCAAAACTTGTAATGTTGGAAGGAAAAGAAAGTTTTTGCACTTTAAAAAAACCGAACAAGAAACTGATAAATGTTCCATTAATTTAATTAATATAACAATATCCCCATTACATTGATACTTTTAAACCAGCGAACTACCTCTCTGCAAACAATTTCTACTTCAAATAACATTAATGTAAAGAAGACAGTGTTGATAACAATGAGTATTCCTATTACATTTTGATAGAATTTATACATTGTTACTTAATCTTCTGTCTATCCTCATTAAATTCTTCATCGTAGATAACTATTACAATACCAGTTACTTGAGCAACCACTACTAAAGAATAAAGAATATCCATGAAAATGGATCGTTTTTGTTGATTTGAATGCAAATGCATAATGGCAATATTTAACACAAGAAAATAACTGTTTATATTTAATAAGTATATATTTTACTTTCATATTATCTCGTTATTGGTTTACGAAACAGCCACTGTACATTTGTTACTTTATCGATTCTTCTTGTTTATTTTGCAAATAACTGAAATAAAGTTCAAGTAATTTTACGAAATTTACGAAAATAATTTCAGGTATTGTTACAGTTTAAGAACAAAGACGATATAAATATAAAATTATCAATTTTTCAGAAAGGAGTTTTCATTGAAATATTTCTATAAATTCTTTTACCGGAAAATTCGAGTTTTGTAAAATAGTAAAAATTATTCTGATCAAATGACTACTGTTAAGTACTGTACTAGAAAATATTCTTTTCGTTTAATCTTGTCACTATGAATATTATAATTAAAAATTATTCCTTTTTGAAGTGTATTGTGATAAACCTGTAAAATAAAGCTTATCATAAAATCGACCGGACTTGTTACTTTAGATTATACGAAGTAGATGAGGCTAACTTGATATCTAAGAAAGGCTGATATTCGAATCTAAAGGCTGGGGAATGAAAGCACGCTTTGTAGAAAGATTGTAGACGACAAAACTTGCAGAATTTTAAGTATTTATTCAATCTTCATTCTCTTTATCACAATAAGAAGTTTATAATATTGGCTTTTCCTACTAAACGGATTTCAAGTAGTAAAAAGTAGAATACAGTATACAGTAACAATACATTATATCCTATATAATAATTAACTTTTTATATAATATTTGCCTATAAAACATTACAAAAATTAATAATTTCTTATAACCTAGAGCAGCGGTCGGCAATCGGTGGTCCGTGAGAAAATTTGGGTGGTTCATGGAGAAATTTGGACATTGATCAACTGAAGGTTACGCGAAGTATTACGAAAGAAATGCAAAATGCTTAGTTGCTTTTTTCACTCATTGAGGGTTTTTTATTTTAATCTAAAACCAAAATACGAGGTGACTGTTATCAATAAAAAATGAATAATAAACAATATTGTGAGTGCGATTGTCCTCCTTGGTGGAAAAGCGCTAAGAATCCATAAACTTATTTCAAACAAGCAGCAACGAACTTTAGACTTGCATTGACTTGTTATTGCATTAAACCAGAGAATTTCATATTAATATAGTAAAATTGAACTTTTATGATCATTATTCTATAGATTTTGTATCGTTTGAAAAAATTCATTATAGTGGTCCGTGAGGTCAGAAAGGTTGCAGACCGCTGACCTAGAGAATCTGATTTTGGCATGTAAGTTATATTTACAAGAATTTTTCAAAATTGGATTTTTCGTACCAAAGAGAAAAACATCTCGAATATCCATCGCATTTGAGATAAAATTTCTTACGCGGCAGTTTTTTCAGGAAAAATTAATTATTCATAAAAGTTTCCATTGAAAATCTCGTATGCGTACGGTAACGTTGAAGATTGGACAATTTCTAAACGAACTTTGCAAATAATGGACAAGACTGACAGAAGAAAAGGAACGTTTAAGAGGCAGTCCTGTACCCTGCAGTGAATATTTACGATCTTGTCATCAAGACGTGAAATCGTTATTACTCAGTTGTGGTTTCTCGTCCATTAAAAATGTGCTATTTCATCATTCTTGCTATTTATGAAATTGTTGAAACGTGACTTTATGGTGTCACCAATTCACTTCTAAACAGGTAAGAATTCGTTTCTCGTTCATTACTAACATGTAGTAGTAGAATAAAATTAACAGTTTCTGTGCTTTATTTCTGACAGGCAATAACTGACGATGCCACGTTGTTCCAAAACATTCCCTTTTCCTGAGTCGGATTCCACTCCACATGCTCCAAAGTAGAATCCCCACTTTTTAAATATTATTTTGAGTTCGACAAATTAGGTCTTGATTGGAAATGACAGACGATGGAAGAAGAAAAAACAAACTAGCATGACTTTAGAATCCATGAGAGAGGAGGAATGGAAAAAGCAGTAAAAATATTTTGGGTCCCAAAAACTATTTTAATGAGGTTATCGCACTTAAAATGATTCTGTCTGCATGTTTTGTAAAGGGACGTAATTATCAGATTGCCGCGATAAACTGTGGATGAGATATATATTGATTAAGCTCATGTTGAATGTTCAGGAGCAGAGGCAGATGAATATGCGATTTTTGCAAACAAACATTTTCATTTCTGAATGCATAAACATATTTAAATAAATCATTTTATGCTATAATTTTGTGCTGTTTTCTTCTCCCTCAAAAAAATTCCATTTATATTTGGAGGTCCGAATTTGGAGCAATTTTTGCAAGCCATCGCTTTTGACACGATTTGCTAATTTAAAAATGTTCTTTACAAAAATTTTATAATAGTTTCTAACAAAGGGAGTTCTTGAATTAATCAAAGAAAATGAAAGAATGTTTAAAAAAACAATTTTAGCTTTATTATTATTATGGAATGTCATGATACTAGTGCCAAGTACTACGCTGGACTAAAGTCAAAGCATAACTTCGCAAACAAGTGTAATATTAAGCTTTGTTATATTCCTAACAATGTGACATGTTCAATATTGCAGTTTTCTGTAGTGCCATGTATATGTTTTTATTAAGGTTTAATGTTTCTAGACTTTTATACCTTATCCGTCCTCCATATCTCTCTTATTTCTTGAGCAAGTACAGTGTACTTGTTGATTTTTTCAATGTGAGCAATTTTATTATTATTATTAAAGTTATAGTAGAAAACGAATTGGATACTTTCATACACTTCCTCTGTGTTTTCTCCTCGTATTTTTAAATATTTTAATGAACCAAAGTAAATTAAACTGTCCAAATTAATAATGCTGAAAATTTTTTATTATATTATTCTGTTCTGAAATGTTTAAATAGTGTCACTTATCGTTTCAAAACTAGTTTATCGCCTATCCTTCAGAATTTATTTATTGATTAAGTATAGAACGAAAGACATAAAACATTTTCTCTAAATATTGGTTAAGAATCTAGACCAGTGTTTCTCAACGGGGGGCGATATCGCCCCCATGTGGGCGTTTTTCCATGTTCAGGGGACGATTAGCAACAATTTATATTTTGGGGGGAGAAAAACAATTTTTTGGGCGATATAGTAAAATATTATATTAAGAATAATTAGATATTTTATTCGTTATATCTTACAATAATTAAACAAATAACATTATACTAGTCACTAGTCTATTCAATGCAGTACGAATTTGGCGTTAGCCTTGTCCCTCGGCATCGGAATTTTGTAGTGAAGCAACGATACTACGTAACAGTTTTATTGAAGGGGGCGATACTACGTTGAAGGGGGCGACGATTCGTTAGAGTTTGAGAAACACTGATCTAGACATAAGAAAATTCTTTGCGTTTCACTCTTTGAGAATAAATTACAACGGTATATATATTTTGAATATTTAAATGTTTTTAAGTAAAGAATTTCGTACTTGAATATATTGTCGGTTTGAAATTTCTTATGTTAATTCTCTGGATATTTTTTATTCCAACTATTTAAAATTTCATTTTAATTTACTTGCTTATATTAGTTTATTGATATCAGTGCTTATAATGAAACACGATATACGAATTAAACTACGATACAGTATTATTTTACGCAGTCGCTGCATTCAGCGGTTATGGCGTAAAACGAAATTCCGCGTGGATTTAGGCTCTATTTCAAATAGTCTCAGATGATTGCTTAGATACTTATGCAACCATTTTATATTAACAGAAAAATGTCGAAATGTGTTTGACGTCACCCTCTTGTTGCTGTTTCGGTTTTGTTAGAATCGAAAGGTTCAATTTCAGTTTTAATTTTACTTTTGCTTTACAACTTGCTAACTGTAATACAGAAAACTTTTTCTGCTTTCTTCGTTACAACCTTCTATTTTCATTTAATCTTGATAATTTTTTTTCTTTAAGTAGGCTGTAGAAAATTGCCATTAATTTTATACCATTATTTTTGTTCCTAAAAGAATTTCTTGATAAAAATTGCATGTGCATTAACAAGTATTACCCCCTCCAAAGGTTAACCTAAACATTTGTCATTCACGAAAACAGACATTCGAGTACTGTGCATCTATCTCGCTTACGGCAATACCCGCTATATAGTAGTTTAGGCTATTTTAAAATAATTAAATTTTAGTATAACTATTATAAAAAGTTATAAATAAATTTCTTTATACTCTAAATTAAAATTTATGAAATTTTTAATTTTAAACTTAGATTTTAAACGTTTCTCACCATA